GTGTGCACTGGGGTCTGTACGTGTGCACTGGGGTCTGTATGTGTGCACTGGGGTCTGTGTGTGTGCACTGGGGTCTGTATGTGTGCACTGGGGTCTGCACATGTGCACTGGGGTCTGTATGTGTGCACTGGGGTCTGTGTGCATGCACTGGGGTCTGTGTGTGTGCACTGGGGTCTGTATGTGTGCACTGGGGTCTGTGTGTGCGCACTGGGGTCTGTATGTGCGCACTGGGGTCTGTGTGCACTGGGGTCTGTGTGTGTGCACTGGGGCCTGTACGTGTGCACTGGGGTCTGTACGTTGTGCACTGGGGTCTGTACGTGTGCACTGGGGTCTGCGCATGTGCACTGGGGTCTGTGTGTGTGCACTGGGGTCTGTATGTGTGCACTGGGGTCTGCATGTGTGCACTGGGGTCTGCGTGCGTGCACTGGGGTCTGTGTGTGTGCACTGGGGCCTGCACGCATACACTGGGGTCTGCGCACGTGCACTGCGATTTGCGCGCATACACTGGGGTCTGCGCATGTGCACTGAGGTCTGCGTGTGTGCACTGGGGTCTGTGCGAGGGAACTGGGATCTGTGCGCATGTGCCAGGACCTTCTGCTTCCTTCCCCGTGAGTTTTAGCCATACTATCTTCACACCTCAACCCCACTTTCTGCCTCTTACAGGAGAAGAGATCAGAGGGGAGAGGGGAGTCACCTTCGTGTGTGAATGAGGCGTGACTTGAAGGCTGGCAAGACCCTGAGGCAGACAGCGGCTCCAGGACAGACGAGCACAGGAGCATCTCCTGGAGCCTGCACTGCACATGCGCTGTGCACTCTCATACACACGCGCACACACACACACACACATGCTCCCGTACACGCTCACACACGCACGTGCTGCAGGCCAGGAAGCAGCAGCTTTTCTGTCATTTAAGCTCTTGTTAGGTAGTATCCCAATACACGACGCACATACTAACTCTAAGGCAGCTATGTCAAATACTAGTGACACAGACATTAGAGCCAAAGGGGCTGAAGGAAGCCTGAAGACACAAGGGTCACTCTCTTGGAAGATGCTGTGACTCCCGGCTTGCATGCGCCTCTGCTGCATAGTTCTGTGTGTTCTGTATATTCGTAGAACCATAAGAAATTGACAAACCCACCACCCTAGCAGAGTATTTACCACTTTTCTCATTAATTGATAGGTAAGAATGGAACTAAATTACCGATAAAAGATTTAGAAAAAAATAATATATTTAATCTAGTAAGTACATAGAGAATATTACCTACCCATTTTCCCCTTGTAAGCAATTGTATTCATCTTGAAGAATCATGTAGCAATCCATACATATTGTACCCTTGGCATCCTCACCTAGTGTGCGCACAGTGTACTCAGCCACAGTGAGTGTGCACACAGGGGGCACCAACAGCATACACACTCATGCACACACCTGGGTCACAGCGAGCGACCAGAATGCCAACAGCAGGTGGGCAGGCTCCACCTCCCAGGGAGACGGCCCGGAGCTTGGGCGTGTGCCCAGCAGACTCCCCAGTGGTGGCTAAGCTCTGGAGGGATGGGACTGGATAGAAGGCACAAAGGCCCTGTGAGGCAATGAGGATCACAACTGCAGCCAGGCCACGAAGTGCAGGCCTAGTGCGGCTACTACAGCTACAGGTGACACTCAGGGCAAAGGCTGTCTTCAGGTGGTGAGCTGAGCTGAGGCAGGGTGGCAGCTGGCCTGTTCCTGCTCATGCTGAGGGAGACTCATGCCCTTCGATGGGCTGCTCTGCCTGCCGACAGCTAAATGGGGGGGTGGTCACTGAGCACCTCAAAGGAAAGGGCACTCGAACCTAAGTGTGTCTCCACTGGGAACCCGAGGCCTGCCTGGGAGAGGATAGTTACCTACTCGTTAAAAAACTTACATTCTGGCTTTTTTTTTAATTGGGAAAAATATATGTATTTAGAATTAGCCAGCTGGACTTAGTTTAGATGATCCCAATTTTGTTGGCAACATCCACTGCATCACAGTCGGGAGCCAGGTGAACACATGCCTTCGTCTCCCCACCAGGCCTGACTAGGTGCTGACCCTGGCAACACTGAAGTCATCAGCTTCTTACAGCTTGTTTGATGTGGTGCTTGTCGTTGGCTTTCACATCCGCAATGAACACGAGCATGTAGTTGTGCTCGATCTTTTTCATGGCTGACTCTGTGGTCAGGGGAACTTGACGACAGCATAGTGGTCAAGCTTGCTTCTCCTGGGGCGCTCTTCCAAGGGTATGTGGGCTGCCTCCAGAGCCACAGCGTCTTGGGACAGCAGAAGCTAGGTGACCTTCAGATCTTCTTCTTTGTGAAGCTGTGGATGCCTTCCAGCACGACCTTCTTGGCCTTCAAAGCCTTGCGGTGGCTTCAGCTTTGGGAGGGGCAGGGGCTTCCTTCTTCGCCTTCAGCACCATCTTGTTATCAAGCCAAGAACTTATATTCTCTTAAAGTACAAATAGAATAATTTTGGCAAACTGACCTTATTCAAAGCTACAAAACTAGTTTTAATGAATTTTAGAGGATGAAAATCATAGACTGTTCTCAGACTGCAATACAAATGAGCTATGCTTACAAACTGTATAAAATTCTAAACAACTCAGATCAAAGAAGAAAGAATAGCACAAGTTATAAAATACCTAGAAGTGATCCATACCTAAAACACTATGTAACTAAAGTTATATGAGAGTAAAACTATTCTTCCATGGAGGCAGGGGGAAGGAAGTCAGTTCGGCCTACCAAGTAGGACAGAGTGCATGTCCAGTAACAGGTTATTTTGCATTTGCTATCACTTACCTACAACTTGCAAAATACCTCCAAGTAAAGGAAAAGATAGAATTCAATAGCATACAAGGGAGTGTCATGTAGGTAACGCGTAGTTTTCCACAGAAGCACCAATTTTTCCATATAGTCCTTCCAGTGATATATTGTGCTATTTTGCAGTTCATCTGTCAGTCTAAACTTGTCTCAAATTCAATCACAGGGGCTGGGGATATAGCTCAGCGGCACAATGCCTGCTGGGCAAGCTCCAGGTCAGGAGTCCAATTCCCAGTACAAACAAACAAAAAAAGTCAATCACAAAGGATTGTTCATTGTCACAAAACAACACCATTCTTGGTTTGGTCAAATTACATACAAAGTTGCGGCAAGAGTTTACTTTGGTGTGGTCTACTAAACTTACAACTCAGTAATCTAGGAGAAAAGTTCCAGAGAAACAAGACATAAAAGATGAAGTACACATAATAAGAGAAACATCGGATCTAAAAGCACACGTTTGCTTAGAGAAGAGTCCCAAATGAGAAAATGTAGAAGGAATGAGAGCCAGACAAATCATGACTACAGGGGCACCGCTGGAGCTGCCCAGACGAGCTGAACCGATGGACGGTAACATGCAGCGGTGAAAGCCGAAGCAGAAGCAGGATGTTCTCATAGCCCTCAACAGCTCTCTGCCATATACGCAGTGATTACGGCAGTACAATAGTAAGGCAGGAGTGGAGAATCCTGAAAGTCACTGTCTCGGCCAGGTGATCCAAGCCACAACCACCAGCAGTGCACGACAACAGCTGCACCCCTGACAGCACCAACCGAACGCTACCTCGCCAAGTGCTAACAGCTCCCACAAGGAGCAGTCTCCGTCTAATTAGAGAACCCATCAGAGAAATTTTAATTAGAGGCAATTCACAAGATAATAGATAAGGTTTACTTTAAAATCGAAAGTCATAAAGATAACATTAAAGTAGCAGATCAGAAGACATTAAAAGATCTCAGTAACTGAATAAGGGCAGGATCCATGTTCAGAAATAGGATGTTAGCAAAAAACAAGTGAAATAGAAACACCTTCTGTTCTTTAGCTAGTAGTATCATATCATGGATGAATTTTTAGTTTTGATCAGTGTTCCACGGTTGCACAGATTAAATATAAAGGGGGCTTAAGGAAAGGACATTAGGGATTTGCACAATCTTTGCAGCTCGGCTAAAAGTCTAAAGTTGTAAGAAATTATACAAAATAACAAAATAGAATCATAAACACTAAAATGAGTTGTTGAAAGCGAGTTATAAATAAACATCATCTTGGCAAAGATAGAAAGACAGAAAAAAGCATACAACAATAATCCAGTAGGTCTGGGATATATTGCAGGTCTATTAACAGATTTTCAAAGGCCCATGAGTACTTTGGGGGGCAACAGAGGATCTTGCATTTGGAATCCCAATTTTGTGCTTCACCCGGTATCTCTGATCATTTAAAGAACTGCCCCTTTATTTCTCTATGGCCCTCCTTGTTAAAGCAGCAGCCAAGCTGAACCCAACTTGTTAGATGCACCAACGATCTCTAGACTAGGCTCTCTCAAGTTCTGCCCTTGACCATATGAGGTGATGGGGTGAGGACAAGGAGTGGTCTGGGAAACTGAGCAACCTCTGACCCAGGCTTCCGTCCCTAAGAAGGACCCCCAAACCAGGGATGCTGACTCTGCGCTAGGAACTAGAGAAGTACACGAAATCAGAACAAAACGTACCTAAGCCTCACTTGGGCTCTACTCGAGTAGACATTCTAGACCATAAGATCGATGGAGCTCGCACTGTCCAGTAATGTACCGCACTCACTTCATACTTTCCAAACCAAAACCCCAAACACAAGCAGCTTCCGCTGGATGACGACACATACCACAACAGCTGCTGCTGCAGTAATCCGGGAACTCTGGAAAGGCGAGGCAGGAAGAAGGCAAGTCTGAGCTTGCCTGGATCACCTGGCAGCTTAGGGAGACCTTCTGTAAAAATATAAAATAAAAAGGGTTGGGGACACAGCTCCACACAAAGGCCCAGTGTTCAACCCCCCCATACCGCGGTACGGTAAAATAAAATAAAGAAACAGAAAAGCAGTTCCCTCTCCCTGCAGCAGGAACTCCCTGCTCACCTAGCCTGGTCACATGCCCACAGTCACAAGCCTCCTAAGAGGCAAACAGGTGAAAGCTAGGATGATGTCTAATACTTAAATTGCTATAATTCTACCCCAATCAAATGCCAGCCAGCAGGACGCTTTGATTTACACTGCATAGCCAGGTGGGTGCGTCAGTTTTTATGTTACTAACTACACAGCTAGCTTCGCGTTCTTTATTTTTCTGCCATGAAGCTTCATCTCTAAAGAAAAGGCCAGACCTCCCCACAGAAACCTCTTCCTACTCCAGGAGTTTTCATCAGCCCTACCCTAACTGGCTCCCCTAAGGGTGTGAAGCAGGCCTTTCCAGTTCTGGGGGTCTTCCACAGCATTGCTACGCTGGGGTCCCAGCAGCAAGCCCGTCCAGTCAGTGTGGTGGTGTTCCTTGAATTCACTTGGCAGAGTGGGGCATGCTAGTCTGAGCCTTTCTGATGCATTATGTCCCCAGTGGACTTTTAAACAATAATGATGAGTTAGATTTCATCTGCAGCCTCCTCCAGCTAACTCACTTCCTCATACCAGGGACTGACCTGTCTCTCTGTCTCCCTTGGTTCCTTTCAAATGAAACTAACCTATCTAATCGGATCTGCAACATTTTTGGATTTGAATAAAACCCTTCAAGCCTGCATGATTTAGCCCAGTAATAAATATCTGAAATGTTGGGCAAAAGAAGCAGAGAAAAACAGCCCCTGGCATCAAATGAAAACAGGAAGCTTATGCCTGGACACAGGTTTTCAGGAGTTGACTGTACACTGAGCCTGTCTGAGAGCAAGGTGATGCCTCCCAGTTACAACTTTCTCCTGGGACCTTAACGCAAGGTGTTGCAACCTCCCTCCAGAGTTACTGCCAATGAACACGACCATTGCTTTGATATATGTCACTCAAAAACTGGGTGTGACAGTGCATGGTGGCTTTTCATGTGGGCGCTTACTCGGGACCCCAGACTGCGTCTTGGCTCACCTCTGGCCTCTGGTCTCACCCTTCCTGTCCTGAGCTTAGAGTCCCCTTTCATTTTATACCTGGCTCTCACAGGAAGTATGGTGCTAAGAGCATTGCTCAGAGTGAGAGGGACACAAGTTCAAGTCCTGCCCCTCTCCTTTACTGGCTGTACACCAGTGGTCAAGTGATTGTAACCAGTTATAGCAGCAACTTGCTCACCTGCCATATCAGAATGAAATATTTGGCTTCACAGCAGCATTACTAGGATGAAATGAGAGAAAGCAAAGAATTAGCAAACATTTGTGCAAACGCTTTTTGAGAACCAACTCCTTTAAGCTCTGCGTTAGTCAGCAGGGGTGTAAGCAAATGCCCTAAACTGAGCAGCCTGAGAACACAGGGCTCTTCCCGGGCTCTTCCCGGGCTGGGCGGCTGCAGGAAGAGTGTCGGCACGGCGGGCCAGCACGGCTCTCCTGGGGCTTCAGACAGCCTCCTTCTGACTCACACGGAGGAGGACCGAAACGATTAGGAGAGGCGTGGGGAGGGAGCGGAGGCGCGGCCTCTGCGCTGCGCACGCACGTGGGCACCTCCGGCCGCTCCCAATCGCTGCCCCGAGGCCCGGCTGCTCCGCACTTCGCACTGAGGGAGGGGGCGCCTTCAGCAGGTGGGCGTGGCGGGGAGCGAGCGTGATCGGAGAGGGACGCTGCAGCGGAGGGCGCCGGCTGCGTGGCCAAGCCGCGGAGCGGGTCAGTGGCCTGAATCTGCACCCACAGCTGCTGCAAAGCCCAATGAGATATGTCGAGGAAGTTGCAGCGGAAGCGAAGGAAGGAAACGTCTTGGCTCATACACGCTTTGCAGAGAAGGCCCACCAGGCCGGGAGGGGACACAACAGCGTGGCCATCAGAGCTCCAGAGAGGGGCCTGGCGTGGTGGCCGGTCGGCGGGAAGGCCTGCGCGCCGGGCCACGAAAGGCCACGTCCTGTCGTTGCCTCGCTCCAGGGAGCCGTAATGCCCATGTCCACAATACTTTTAGCTTTAAATTCGATGGAAGTCTATTTCCTAGTGCCTATTATGCGATTTATTAAAGGTTAATCATAGTTAACAGTCATGAACTAAAATGAGTACTATTTCTTTAATAGTAAGTATAAAATAGAATTCTACTAAAAAGTACACCCCAATTTAGCATATTGTGAACTTCATACCGTGTACAATTATAGAATTCAAATTCCTGCACATTTTAAGAAAATCGCTTTGAATTGGGTGCGTAATCTCCATCTCTTGGGCAAAGAATATTTCTTGTACATACTAGCTAAGCATAGCAAGGATTAGTGCGGAGCAGTTATCACTGTCATTTAGTGCCCTGTAAATCCATCACTCGGAAAATCATAGGCTCTGCCTCTGGCGCGTCTTGTCCCCATTTCCACGCAGCCACTTTGGCCCGGGCTGGCACCCTCCATGCCAGGGCGGGCGGCCTTTCTTACCTACTGCAGCCTCCCTGACTTCCTGCCAGTCTGACGTCAGCTAAGCAAGCCTCCTGAAGCATTGTGTTAGCGCGGTATTCATTGCTCTCGTTTTCCTGAGAAGCAGAAGCGTAAGTTTCCTTGGGTCTGATTCTTAGACTCCTCTGAATCCGCCTCCCCACCCCCAGCCTCCCTTAGCTCCCAGTCTGCCAGTCCGTGCCCTCTTTACGCCCTCCATTCTTAGTAAGCCAACCTCTTCCCAGAATCCCACGGGCTGTGGGACGTTCTGGGGTGGTCTGAGTTGGAAAGCTCTGTCCTTTCTGTGCAGCTCAACCAATTTTGCCAATCAACAAGGTCTGCATCAATTGCTTCCCATTCCCAAAATTTTTTCCAAACCACTTTAGTATCCATTAATTTCCCCTCTACTAAACCTCAGAGAATTTTAGAAGTGGACCACCCACCGCAACCCTGTAGGCATCATCTCACAAAGTTCCTTTTTTCTCTTATGCATATATCTTGCACTATTTTTTTCGTTCCCCAAAAATAAAAGCTGCACTTTATTCATCTCTTGAATTTTAAAATAATGGTGGGTCTGTAATGGTAAGTTATCACACAGTATACAACTATTACTGTCAGGTAAAATATTTGGCATTTTAGCAGAATCATCTACTTTAGTGTATATAGAAATCCCACATGGTAGATAGGTATTATTCTTCATCGTATAGATAAGCATTCTAGGAATTAAAACAAAGATACTTGTTCCAGATCAGAGTTAGTGCACAACGAAACCAAGAGTTGATTAAAGGAATGTTTGATTGAGCTTTGACTGTAGCAAGTATTAAACACAACCTCGGCTGTTGACCAACCACTAATAGCAACTGGCTAGAATACAGCTTCAGTGGCCGCCACACCGCTGGATCCAGAGCAGAGATGCAAATCTCAGTCTCTGCCAGTTGAGTGACTGTGGGCACATGTCACAGCATTAACTTACTAACTTGTAGGACTTCCCCGACAGTGAAGCACCAGGGTGCTGAGACCCTCCCAGCCTAGTTGCAAGAATTTGCATTCTGCATATTTTCCACATGGAGAAATAAACAGGCTGCAGCAGCTACTTTACAGCAAGAGTCAGTCACAACCACTTGTGTCTGGCAGGCACTCAAGGCAGTCAGAGCAGGGAGATTTCACAGTGGAAAGGGGTAAGGCGTTACTCCCCAGTGGAGGCGGCTGGCCTGGGTAGCTGGAGATGTGTACTGGAGGCCAGGCGCCTTCTGCAGTCACTGTTTGGGCCTCTCTGGTGAACACCGATTTGCCCTGCTGTAATGGAAAGGACAGTGGCAGGGGCAGGGTGGCTGCCGGCTGCTGACCTGGTGACGTCCATCCTGTTGTCACAGCTCATGGGTCATCCTCACTGGGTGTTGCCTACAGATTGTGGGTCGTGGTTCTACAGCTGTGTAGCCTTTCACTGTTCCCTGCTGGTACATGGAATCTCTTTTGCCTGTTTTCCTAGTTTTAATTGAGTTTATATTTGAAATACTGCTTCTTTTTTATTATAAAGAAATCCATTCACATAGATCCAATGTTGTAAGTTTAGTGTATTAATTAGTAGATTTATTTTCTAAAAAATTACAATTTTCTAGTCTTTTCACTTTAAAAAAAAAAGAAAGCTTCCTTCAAAAAAGCATGAAGAAGGGGCTGGAGAGAGAGCTCAGTTGAATAAGCACTTGCCTCGCAAGCGCAAGGGCCTGAGTTCAATCCCTGACTCTGAAAAAAAAAAAAAAAAAGCATGAAGAAGCAAATCAAAAGAAGAATATAAATGTCAGGTTTTCCTACATAAAACACTCAGTGAGACTCCAGTGTTAATAAAGAATATTCTACAGCAACCACAGATTATGAATAAGTACGCTGCTGGGTTATCACTGATCTCACAATACGCCAACAGCTAAACCTCTGCTTGAATGACTGTACACCTATAAAGGGCTTAACTTGTGCAGAGGCACTTGGAGTTTTTACTGCCTTAAGGTTCCACGTCTCCACGTCTCGGACAATAGCCAAAACACGGGAGGCCAGGGTCGGGGAGATAGCTCAGTAGAATAAGCGCTTGCCTGGCAAGCACAGGGTGCTGAGTTCAATCCCTGGTACCAGAAAAAAACAAAAAAACAAAAAACAAAAAAACAAAAACCAGGAAGCACAGCCATGCAACGTCAACTTTGATACCTCCATAACTAGTTCACTTGACATTCTTCCAAGATTTGTCAAATCTAGAGACTTAGGAACTTTAATCTCTGAAATACTTAATTTTTGGATGTTCAATTTACTTAATTTCTCCCCTCTACTAAAAATTAAATGAACTACAATTCTCCTTACACTGCTTACATTAGTTAGAAATTGGAATTGGTCTTATTAAGTTTTATGCCTGGGTCCAAGATAATAAAATTCTCCATTTTTAAGAATAGCACCTGTTATTTCTTACCTGGAAGAGGTAATTCAGCTTATTCTCATAAAAAAATAAGCCATTTTCTCAGGAAAATAGCAAACTAAAAACCTTTTTAAAACATATTACAGTTCTTCAAAATGGAATAAAAACACAACACTTCTCTGAGCTCCTGAGTGAACCAAAGTAAACCAAAGCTAGCCTGGCCTTCCAGACTGTGGTCAGGAATCTGCCCTAAGCAGGCCTGGGGCCCTGAACCCAGGCAGTGAGCATGCAAGGCAGACGGGAATGCTGGAGGGAGTACGGGCGGCCACAGGGAGGGCCGCTCCAACAACGAACGCTTCCCGGAGGCCGATCTGCACCCAGTCCTCGGGTTGGCACAGTCTTAGGATCATAGTATACACTATTGATTATTTGAAATATAGTCTACACGTCCCAGATGGCTGTCTGAGTCATCTAAGCATGTGTGCGTCACTTAACTTTAATTTCCAAGCTCTAAGTTCTGCCCTGCTTAAAAAACAAAAACAAAACTATGGGCCTAATCTAGTCCCCAAATTTTGCTACACAAGGATGATGTGTTCAGAACTCGGCATTCCGCAGCCCAGCTGCCAGCCAGAATCATGTGTCGTGGGAAGTAACTTCGCAGACCCAGACCTGAAGAAGTTTTGCCTTCTTCATCTGCCGTAGCATGAATTCCTGCATGTGTGGTGTTAGAAAGTCAAGCATAAGTTAAGCGACATTAGCATGTGTGTACTCATAGAGACTTGAACGAACACCAGCCTCCTCGCAGCGCCGAGAGTGGTGTGCTCACAAGAGTACTTTGAAATGCTACCTGCTCGCTGCTGCAGGTTATTCCTACCAACCAAGTGAGCCGCAGGCAGTGGACTCTGGCTCCGCTGCCCTTCCAGGGTGGAAGCGGTGATTCCTCGGGTGGTTTTGGGGTACTCGTACCTTTACTTCTTCCCTTCCCATCTACACAAGAGCCCCTCCAGGGCAGGGGCTGAACCCCGCAGGGATGTAAGGACAGGCTGTGAGGGGCCCAAGATTCTTCTCACCTGCAGCACTTTCTTCCCACTGAAAAGTCACACCTGGGACTTGAAGGTATTTCGAGCGCTGGCTTCGTGGGATGGCAGCCAGTCACTCCGGGCTCCACGGCTGCTCCAGCAAGCTCCTTGGCAGAGCTGGCTGCCTTACTACTGAGAATAGCCCCCTAACTTTGCAATTCTTAAGTAACACGATGCTTCCAGCTTCTGAGCACCTGGGAATCCAGTCAGCACCCTTGACAGCTGCAGCTGGGCTAAGCTTGGCTGCTAAACTGCAGTGGAAGGAGCTCTGCCTCTAGGCTGGGATATGCAGCCAGCTTATGAAGGGGGAGGGGGAGGGGAGGAGGGGAG